GCCCCAAAGCACCCCTGCACCTTGCACTTGGAGAACTATCTTAAAAATGCACACCTCATCTGCATCAGGAGGCAGCAGGGGCAGCTCAGTGGGCACAGGGAGGCCCAGGCCTGGTCTCCACCCACTGCACTGTGCTCTGCCACCTCTCCCCGAGTGCCACACGCACTCAGGACAGAGTCGCACAGCATCTACCCAGCAACCTGCCAGGCAGCAATGGATCACAAGAAAGAGGTCCCTCCCTAAAGACAGCTGTGTGCTGACTGCTCCCAGGGCCATTTGTGGAGCCAGGTCAAAGGGAGTCAGCCATGAGAAAACCCTAAAACAGAGCCCGTGAAAACCCAGACCTGAGCCACTCAGGAATGAGCAAAGTGTGTATGAACTTAGTGTAAACAAAGAATAGTCCTCAGCCACAAAACAGAGTGAGGAGCTGACACAGGCCACCATGCAGAAGGCCAAGGAGGACGTGACGCTCAGTGACGCCACATGGGCCAATACACAAGACTCCATTCATATAAATCACCAGGAGACACCTCCATGGGGAGAGCAAGGAGGTGATCGACCAGAGGCTGCTAGGAAGCGGGAAAGGAGAATGGGTACCAGGGTCTCTTCTGGGTGACACAAATGATCGGAGGCCACACAGTGGCAATGGCAGCACAGTCCGACTACACTGAAGGCAGGCGCCACACAGTGCACAAGGTGAGCCTGCAGTACGGGAGCTCGCTCACGCCCGCCACTGACCAGAGGGCCTGATCTCAAGCTGTTTCCAAATCTCTGGCTATTTAAATAAAAACAATTAACAGTGGTGGGTCCAAACCCAGACTCCTGCGTGGTAAGACCCTGGAACACCCTGTCTGAGGAGCCACCTGTAGCAGTTAGCAGACACTCAGCGCCGTGAAATCACTTTCCTCTACCATCACTGTTACTGTTATATTTTCCTCTCTGCAAGTAAAACATCTGCTTAATTTAAGAAAAGCTCTCTGCTTCTAATCTTCTTCTAGAAATTCTTTATGCAACAGCATTTTTAAAGAAAAACAGTGAATGTTTAGAGAAAAAATTGCAAATAATGAATATCAAAGAAAACACAGAAGAAATAAAAATTTATATAAGACAGAGAACTTATGAAGCAATCCAAATTTTTATGTCTAAAAGAAAAGGCACAGTCTCTAAGCTCAGAGTTCAAGAAAGAACGCAAGGAGGCCCTTCCTCAGGGCTCTATGCGCAGAGGAACTGAGGGGAGGAGACCCTGGTGGCTGACCTCACCTGCCGCCCACTCCAGGCAACAGGGCTCCTCAGCATCAGGCTCCAACCTTCAAGTCATGAAGGAGCAGGAACAGCCAACCACAGTTCCATGGGGCAGGGAGGATACAGGGACAACCAGAAACCGCACTTGTTTTCAAACAGGCAAACAATGCCCTGACTTATCGTTATAACCTTCATTATCAAAGCTCAAGTAGGATTCTCCAACTTTCCAGAGATGAACCAAAAAAACCATCCAAAGCAACTCTTCAAAAATCCGTGTAAAAAACATCAACATCAAAACTCACAGCAAGATACAAACATTCAACTTACGCAGAGCGCATCTCTGTAAAAACGAATTTCAACAGCCGGGCAGTCAGGGAGGAGAGGGAAGCACCGGGGACCATGGCTGGGCCTTACACTTGTCACTTGAACAGTCCTCAAGGCAGGCCTGCTGCAGAGCCACCAGGAGACGCTGAGACATGGAGCTTTCTGGCAGAGGTCACAGAAGCTGCTGAGTTCAGTGCTCAGGGCCTCCAAGGGGGGAGGTGTGTAGGAGGACTAGATTACCCCCTCATCTCATCAAAGAGATTCCTACTTGACAAAAACGCTCTCTTATAAAAGACATTTTTGTTCCAGATTTACTTCACTGCTCGACAGAAGAACCCTCCTCCACTGCCTTCACAGTGGGATGCATCGCACACGCCACGCAGCCCCTCACAGAGGCACACCATCAGGGGCCAGCGCGGAGCCAGGACCAACAGCAGGGGGAGGCCACAAGTACAGGCGAGCGACAACTCACTGGTCCCTCGAAGCTGACCGAGCTTACTACCAGCAACCACACTTCCCAGGGCCGCACTCCTCCTGTTCATGTGGACGCCATTTGTCTGCCTGACACTCAACATGGAATCCAAGAAAGCCACAGTCTCGGGGGAAGTGCCACCAAAACGATTCAACAGCAATAAAAACCAACACATGGACCACAACCACTTCCTAGAGGAAGGCGGGGGATGAAAAGCCACAAGCTCAGGCCCAAAGGACGCAAAGGACCCCACTCACTGACAGTCTTCCCTGCCACTCCACAGAGGCTGTCCTGTCAAGAGCTCAAAGACACTGCAAAGGGCACTGGGCAGACTGGCCCCGGCTGACCCTCCTACCTTCCAAAGAAACCCAGGGTGTAATCTAAGGCACCACACTTGGTCAGAGAGGCCTTTTCTCCAACAGCAAAATTTTGGCCCTGGGCTGGGGGCGGGGTACAGTGTGATAAAAATGGTGTGAGCCCCAAACACTTTGTATTTAAGCACTTTCAAAACATTTAAACAAAAAGTTTGCATTTCTGAGTGGATGACCTGAGCTGCCCTTCCTTTTCAATGTGGAGACGAGATCTATAAGTTAACCTAAGACCCTGGGTTTCCATCCCGGGACAAGGTGGGTGCCAATAATAACTCTTGAGCAGGATGGAGTCCAGGCTCCAAAATCTCTCATACAGTAGCCTGGTTCTTGACAACCAGACACGCACATCCACAGCACGCATGCACACACAGATATACACAAAGCACGCACACACATTTACACGTTCGCGCGCACATCGTACTCCTAGTATTCGCGCGCGCACACGCGAACCTGCCACGACCTGCGCGCACGCCCGCCCGCCCGCCGCAGACACCTGTGCCGGGCAGGCCCAGCAGCAGGGACCAGGCCCTGTGGCAACCAAGGTTCTAGCGCCTTCTCAGCCCCATCTCGCCCTGACTTCTGGCACAGACAGAATCCTTCCTTTTCTGGTAATAAACACCAGATTTGGAGAAACCAAGGCGACACAATGTACTGTTAATCTGTCATCCAAGAGCCCGATTAAGGGGACAAAGGCTTTATCGCCTTTCCAGAAATTATGTGAAACAGGACAAAGAGGCCAGAAACTCTGACCGCAAGCGCGCTCGCTACCCTGTTGCAACCCAGAGGGTCACGCAGAGGGTGGGCAACTAATGTTTGGGATGCGGGCTTGGGACACCGAGATAAGGCCTGGGATAAGGCCTTCGGATGCGAGATGAGAACTGGGGACAGACTTGGGGTCCCAGATGGGGGCCAGGAGTGGGGCCTTAGGGTGCAGATCTGGGGTGGATTGGAGCCTGGGGTGCAGACGTAAGTACGGGCTTGGGCGCAAAATCGGGATGGCCTCTTCCAGTCATCATCATCCCCCTAAGCAAGGGCATGCACGCACCTTGTGGCAGGCTGGACAGGTGGGCAGAGCGCCACCGGGCCCGGGAGCGCTCTTGCTCCCGGGACCTCCACCGCTGCTGCCGCCGCCGCTCAGGCTGCTCTGGATTTGCGTGAGTTCCTGGCGCAGGACCTGCTTCTGATGGAAACTGAAAGCCGGGTGGTTAGAGGCCATGGTGAAGAGCAGCAGGAACTCATCGCCAGTGCGGCCCTCGTTGAGCTGCAGCCCGTAGTTGTGGATGATGGAGTCGATGTGCGTGAGCGTGCGGTAGAGCACGCCCGCCGCCTCGCGCTGCTCCGAGCCCAACAGCGCCAGCGACACTAGCAGCTTGCTGCGCACCACCTCGTCCGTCAGGTTGGTAAGGCTGCCCAGGTCGGCCGGGTTGTTGGCCTTGATCTCCGAGTCGCGCAGCGAGTGGTAGTCCTTGCGCGCCAGGTCCTCGAGGCACGAGCCGAGGAAGCGCAGCTCCAGCGGGATGCACAGGTCCAGCAGGCCGCACAGGAACTCCACGCGCTGCGGCGACGGCAGCTCCGAGAACCAGCGGTACACGCCGTCCCTCTGCAGCGGGCAGCGCTTCTCCACCATGCTGCCTCCCGCGCCGCGCCGCGACCCGGGGCCGGGGGCCGCGCGGGGGCGGCCGGGGGGTGCGGGGGGCCGCGGCCGGGGTGCGCCGGGGCCGGGGGCGCGCGTGCCGAGGCCGGCGCTGGGGCTGGGGCTGGGGCTGGGTGAGGCCAGGCGGGCGCCGCGGGCCGCGCCGGCGCCGGGGCGGGGGCGGGGGCGGGGGCGGGGGCCGGGCGCGCGCGGGCCGGGCGAGCCCCCCGCCAGGGGCCGGCGGGCGGGCGCGCGCGGGCCGGGGGGGCCCGGGGCGGCCGGGACCGGGGCGGCCGGGGGCGGCGAGAGGCCTCGGGCCCCCCGCTCACGGGGAGGCTCCCTGCCCGCGCCCGTCCCCAGTGGCGGCCGGTGCGCGGCGGCGGCGGCTGCTCCTCGTCGTCGTCGTCGCCCGGGAGGCGGCCGCCCCCATCTCCCCCCGCGCCGCAGGGTCTGTCACTGCGGGCCGCCCCCCGACGGAGCCGCCCCGGCCATGCCGCCGCCCGCGCCTGCGCCCAGGCCGGCCGTTAACCCGGGCCGCGCAGCGTCGCCGCCTCGGAGCGCGAGCCGCGGGCCACTGCGGGCTCGCGGGCGCGGCGGAGGGATCCGGCCGCAGCCGCCGCTCGGCTCGACGCTGCCGCGGACGGATCGGGCCGAGCGCGGCCGTCGGAGCCGAGGAGCAGCGCGCTCGCGCACGGCGGCGGCGGCCAGCACAAGTGGGCGGGGTGGCCGCCTCTCGCGACAGCCCGGGCCGGCCGGGCCCGCCCCCCGCGCTGATTGGCCCTGCTGCGGATCCTCGGCCCCGGGTTGTTCCAGCCCCGCCACCCGATTCGCCTGCTCCTCGGCCACGCCTCCGCAGGGGCTGTCGATCACGCTGGAACCGCCCCCTCCCGCCCCTCGGCGGCCGGCGCCACCCGATTGGTTGGCCACGGTTGGCGAGGCGGAAAACCCGGGGCGGATTTCTGGTCGCTTTTGTTCCCGCAGATTTGCGCGGAGCCTTGTTTTTGGGGGAAAGCCAGGAGCTGGGCCTTCCTGCTTTATTCCTGAGCAGTATCCCGGGAAGGTGGCGGCTGTCTAGAAAGAGCTTCTGGAGCGGGGCTCTGGAAACCCGCGTTCCAATTCCCTATCTGCCCCTGCTGAGCTGTGTGACCTTGGGCAAGTCACTTGGCCTCTCTGAGCCCTGGGCGCCTACCCGGAACAATGAGGGTAATAATAACCACCACAGGGGGCTTGTGAGAAGGTGGTGAGCTCACAGAGGGCCGGCACCTGCATTTTTTAGGCGGCCTGCCTGCCTGGGGGTGGGGTGATGGGAGGAGTAAGTCTTCTCCAAAAACCTTGACCAGAGGAGACTATCCGTCGCCTATCATCAGTCCATCTTCTTTCAACGGGCCACCTCCTCGGCCTGTGGGACAGAGAAAATGCAAACACATGGGCCAAGGGTCAGAGAGAACCTGGCAGGAAGTACCAGAGGGTTGCAGCCACTGCCCCGGGAATTTGCATCGGCCCGTACTGTGGTTGGGGGAAGGGGAGCCCCGTGGCGTCCCACCTCTTGATCCCACAACTTCAGGATCCTCCACTTCTAGAAACTCAGGACCGAGCGAGGTGGGTTCCCCCGTGCCCTTCCCCCAGAAGATGTCCTTTTGACGTCCTGGCGATCTAGGCCCGGCCCATCTCCTTTGTGGCTGCCAGATGTGCCGGCCTTGGGGTGCCCTCTGGGCAGAGCCCCCAGCCTGGTTCTGGGGTTCGCTCCGGGGTGTTGAACAGTGAGTGGGTTCCTCAGGGCACGGTCCAGGGTGCTGAGAACTTCTAGGGAAGTTCTCTCTTGGGTCCTCAGACGCACCTGTGTTGGGGAGGCCTGTTGGTGAAGCAGCACCTTCTCTCCTGCCCCCACCCACCAGGCATGTTTCCCAGGAGCCATCCCAGGGCTCTCGTCAGGCTGGGAGAAGAGGCATGGAGTTAGAGCCAGGTGGCTTCCAGCAGCACAGGTGCCGTCGGGGGACTGTTGGGTGCCCCCCACAACCAGTGACTGAGTTACTCCTTGTTTTCTTGGGCCTTGTTCTTTTATGGGATTCCAAGGAAGTGGTCACATTCCAAAATCTAAGATCTGAGTAAGCACAGGAACAACTTGTCCTCTTGACAAAGGAGGCCCCCCTGAGTGGACGCATCTTGGACCTTCTCACTGTCGGAGGCTTCTCAAGCCCAGCCCCAGGGGCACCATGCACACCTGGATTCCAGTCCCAGCTCTGGCCTGGCCACTCATTCAACCCCTCTGAGCCTCAGTTTGCTCATCTGTGAAAGAGAGCCAGGAACCAGTGGCCAGCTGCGGCAGAAGTCAGAGTGCTGACCAGAGTCTCTGCGACCTGAGAGGGCAGAGGCCTGCCTGCAGGACCCCTGGTCCAGGTCCACCCAGCTCCCAACGCCTTCTTGTTAATTCTTGCTGTGCAGTTTGATATTTAATGTCAAACTGAGATGAATAGCATCCCCCCAAATTCCTTGTCCACCTGGAACCTGGGACCTGACCTTGTTTGGAAACAAGGTCTGTGTGAATGTAATTAAGGTAAGGATCAGGAATACAGTGGATTAGCAAAGGCTGGAGATTCAAAGGGACTCTTCTTACAAGAGACAGAAAAGAACCTGCAGAGATTTAGGGGGAAGGCCACTTGAAGACAGAGGCAGAGATTGGAGCCAAGGGGTCGTCGATGCCCAGGCCACCGTGCACCCCAAGAGGCAGGAAGGGTCTTGCAGAACCTTCAGGGGGAACTCAGCCTGCTCACACCTTGGCTTTGGACTCCTGGCCTCCAGAGCTCTGTGGAAGGGTGAATCCTTTATTTTAAGCTCCCCCCCCCACTTCTTTGCGATCTTTCTTTAGAGCACCCACAGGAAACCAATTCAGTGTCATATCCCCCTAAACTTCAGTTCGGCTCCACTTAATTCAGCTCATAATGGATATTAAATCCTTACCCTCCAAGATCAGACCTCTCTATTTCAGGTTTGGGGGTCTTGGAAGGTAGGTTGCACACGGATGGGAGATGACCACCTCAACTCCTTGCCTGAGACCATTCGTCCATCAGCTTCTCCTCAGGAAAAGGGTGGATGGCCTTGAGTCTCTGGATGCTGGTGCCAGGTGCCAAATGCCAGCCCTGCAGCCCAGGTCTCCATCCCCAACAGCCCCTGCCACTGGGGCTCTGGGGCTCTCTCTCACCCAGCTCTGCACATGCACAAGGTGACCCCTGACTGTTTCAGCATTTCCCCACCTGCTGCCCCTTCTGCAGAAGCCACTGGCGTTGTGGAGGGCTTGGGGATCCTGGGCTGAGACAGAGGGCCCTGGGCTCGGGCCCAGGTCAGAAGGTGTGCACACCTCCAAGCCAGTTCTGGGAAAGCAGGGCTGCAAGGAGAGGGAGGGGGCTGGGTGTGCAGAAGGGAGCACACTGCGTTGAGTTCATTGGGCATTCGGGCCCCAGCTGCCCTGGGCCTGACTGGGCAGGGGGCTGTGCTGACAGGACAGGAGCCCCTGTCCTCAGAGCATGATCTAATCTAGGGCAGCCAGATATGTCTATCTGCATCTTTTTTAAGTGGACACGATATCTTCACCTTATTTTTATGTGGTGCTGAGGATCGAACCCAGCGCCCCGCGCATGCCAGGCGAGCGCACTACCGCTTGAGCCACATCCCCAGCCCCTATCTGCATCTTTAGTCCTTGGCTACCTCTGGGCACAAGACTGTGGGGAGAAGGGGGAACTGTCCCTTCCATAGGCTGGAATGCAATATAACTTGCTTTATTTTTGAGAGCAGAAGCCACAAGTTCACCCAGATGATTATTTTATAACAAAGGCATGACACATATGTATGGGGTTGCTTCTGGTATCTGAACTGACAGTTCTTACTCTGATGGTTGCAGGTGATGACCAGGAGGGACTATAAATCAATCATCCTACTGTTCCAAAGTGCAGAGTCCTTCCCTGACACCAACACCTTGTTTCTCCTCTAACTGGTCAGAGTCCAGCCCAGGAGGAAACCTGGGGAGGCCCAGTGGGGACTGGGACAAGAGAGGCAGAGTTGAGATCAGTGCCCTGTGAACATGGTGTCCATCATGCTCCCTGGAGGACATGGGGAAGCTCCCTGCACAGATTGCTACTGAATTTTCCTGGGGTGCATCCTCAGGGTGTGACCCCTGGGGATCCCTCTTTCCCACGGCCTACACCCTGCTCTGTGATGATTCTCGTTCCCTGCCTGGGCTCCTGGCCCCTCGTGTGGTCACCACCTTGACATACAGCAGGTCCCGTTGCCTCCATCCTTATTCCCATTTTATGGGTGTGGAGCGGTCAAGGAATTTGCTCAGGCCATGCTGTCTGCTCATGTTGGAACTGGAGCCTGACCTAGGTCAATGATCCACAGACTCTGTCCCTCCCGAAGGAAATCACAAACAGGACACATGGTTCATTTGCTATTTCTGCAAACTGGAGACTCCAAAGGTGTCTTATTGGTGCCAGTTTTTCTAGCCATGATTATTGACAAAGTCCACCTGCAGTCATAATTGGGCAATTGTCCCCAAGTGATGCCAAGCCCTGATTTCCACCAGTGACAGTTTTATCCACAGCAGTCTGGGGTGTCTAGTGTTGGGCTGGATGCCATTTGTCTCCAGTGGGCATCATCTGGGCTCTTTAAAATCGAGAATCCTAAGCTGATCCCAGAGAAGGAGGGGCGCTCCCTGCAGTTCGAGCCTTGGAATCTGCATTTGCGCTAGCAACCTGGTGGTCCTGACACACACGTGTGACAGCAGCTCTTGGGGCATGGCTCTGCTGCTTCCAGCCCCCTAGGCTGCTTTAATTAACAACAGCAATCATGATAGTAATTAGAGTTTCCTGTATACATGGTGGGCCTGATTACAGATGGGGAGTGGAGGCTGAGCAAGGGTAAACCATCAACCCGAGGCCACCAGCCGGTGGCTCTGACTTTCACCATGGCATGCGGCAGACCCAGCTGTGGTGGGTGCCTGTGGCTCCTCATATGTCCCTGCTTCTTGCACCACAGCAAAGGTGTCCTCTGACAGTCAACAGGCGATCCACTGTGCTCCGCGTCCAGTGGTCTGTTTAACTTTCCTTTTTATTATAGAAAATTCCAAACATGCCCCAAAGGTAAGGAGCAGCATGGTGACCCCTCACCACGGGGCAGCTTCAGCAGGGACAAGATCGGTTTTAGAGCCCAGACCATGCAAGGAAGCCCAGTTGGCCCAAGCCCTGCCCTGGCAGCCCTCCTATGTCCACCGGGCGCGCTAGGGCCGCAGGTGTGAGCTCCAGCAGACCCAGAGGACAGTCCCCTCCACTGTGATCCTGCTCCTACTTGTATCACACATTTTCTTTCTGAAGTATTTTCAAGTAAATAAGTTAGGGGTTTAAAAACCTATATATTGTCGTTTTGTCTGTCCACGAGGCAATACATGCTCCTTGTAAAGATATCATACCTCACTGAGAAGTAGTAGAAAGTCACAAAAACACCTTCTCAGTCACCACCAACTTAAAAATGTTCTTCTAGACAATTATATATTTATGTGTGCATACTTTTACCAAAAAAACAAAAAAAAAGGTAAGAATCCTGGTTACTCTATGAAAGTAAGACAGTGCTCTGTATTTGTGAATTCTCAAATGTCCTTCTATGTCTGTGACTCTACATCATGGCCTGGAGGACAGCTTGGAATCTGGTTGTCTATGTAAACCATGGCCTACTGACCATCCCCTCGTGATGGGCATCCAGGCTGAACCACATCTGCCCCCTCTGCTGGCTTGCAGGGGTCAGAGTAGTATCGAGTTTCAGAGCGTTATGAGAAGATGGAGAGTCAGTCCCACTGCCCTCCCGCGAAGCCACATGCCTTGCTGGAAGTGTCCAGAGGAGATACATGCAGATTCACTGTGGTGAAAAACACATTCCAAAGGCAGATAATGTACTGTCTGGGCAGCAAGGTATGACTCCGGAATACCGAGGTCTCTCTTTAAACAAGCACACCAGAGCTCAGCCAACCCGCCACTCTCCCTCCTTCCAAGTAGCTAAGCAGAAGCTGATACTCTTGTTACAATGAAACGCATCCCGTGAGGTCCTCCAAAGCTGTCTCCAGAAGCTGTGTGAGCAAGGCTGGTGTGCACTGTAGGCTGCAGAGCCCTTGTGCCTATGGGTGGGCGGATATCTGGAAATAGCCCACGCCACCGGCACATTGCAGCAGCAGAATTGACTAGATCTACTTTGAGCAGAAACAATTATCAAATGATAGCAGGATCTGGGGTCTCTGACAGGGTCAGAGAACCAGAGGGGATGTCACTTTGTATCTTTAAGTTGCCTGTGCATGGTTGACTTTTTTTTTTTTTTTGGTACTGGGGATTGAAATTGAACCCAGGGTACTTTTACCACTAAGTTGCACCCCCAGCCCTTTATATATTGAAACAAGGCCTCACTAAGTTGCTTAGGGCCTGGCTACATTGCTGAGGTTGACTGCAAACCAGTGATTCTCCTGCCTCAGCCTCCCAAGTTGCTGGGATTGTAGGCATGCACCACATACCCTGCTTCCTACCCATTTTTCAATCAGGTTTTTGTCTCGTTTCCCTCGAATTTTTGATTTTTCATCCTTTAGGTATTAAGTCACATTATCCCTTTATCTACATTTACATTGGAAATGTTCTTTCCCCATCCATCAATTGTCTTTTGATTCTGTTGATGGTGTTTGTACCATGAAAACGATGAACTTTAATGTCATTACATGGGTTCTTCTTTTCTTTTATTCCATCGGGATCTGGAGTCACGGTCAGACAGTCTTTCTCTATACGCAGCTGGTGGACTTTCTTCTGTTGGTTCCTTTTTCTACATTCTGACGTTCACTCTTAGAGATATCTGCTTTCAAAATCCATCTTATTTAAGTTCCTTGACTGAACCAGGCCTTGCCAATTAGAACGCTGTAGAGCCAGCCGGGGCAGGAGGCAGTAGGTGACGAGGCCTGGGGCCCATCACAGGTTAAAATCTTTTTTTTTTTTTTAAGGCCCTGAGAGGCCTTTTAAATATATCTTTATTTCTTTATTTTTATGTGGTGCTGAGAATCGAACCCAGTGCCTCACACATGCTAGGCCAGGGGTTACCGCTTGAGCCACATCCCCACCCCAAAACCTTTTTTTTTAGTAGTTCTCCAGGCTGCTGTGAACAAGTGTCACAAACTGGGACTTAAAACGGTGGACACCAGCTCCCGCTCTGGCCGCTGTGTCTGACACCAGGCTGGCCCTGCTGAGGGTCTGGGGACACCCATCCCAGCCTCCTCGGCTCGGGCACACTGGCCATCTTTGGTGGCGCTCGGCTTGCAGATGTGTCACTACAGTGGCCTCCACCTCTGTCCTCACCTGGCTGCCTCCAAATCCCCCAGGCCCAGGACCTAAGCCTTGCTGTGTGGAGAGGAGATAAGAAGTACCCGCCTCGCAGAGGGCTGGAGAGCAGGGCAGAGGGCCTGACTGCCCGTTGCTGCCCTGCCCTGGGCAGCAGGGACTCCGCAGGGGGCCAGGGACCGTAACAGCACTCACGCAGCCCGTGTGAGGGGGAGGCAGTCCCCGCGCCTGCGACGCTCTCGCGATGCCCAGCAGGCACCTCCCACCTGAGTGCGTGCGGACCCGCCCCCTGAATTGGCTCCACTCTCCAGAGAGGACGCGTTGTGGTCCTCCTCTCTCCCCGAGTGGGTTGCGCACATGGGGGCAGTCTGAGCTCGCGGGGTCTCGCTCCTCTGGGGCGCACTCCGGTGACAAAGGAGGGGCGCTGGGTCTCATCCTCATGGGCGGGTGACAGCACGGGGCGTGGAGCCAGAAGTCCCTGGCAAAGGACGGACAGCAAGCAGCGAGGCTGGGCTGGAGGTGGCCCCTGGCTGCTCCTTCTGCCCAGCGGGGCCTGGGCGCGTTTTTGGCACCGAGAGCAGGAAGTGTGGAAGCGCAGGGCACAACGTCCTTTCACGCCTCATTTCACCCCGGTGACATGCTTTAAAATCAATAGATCATTGTCCTCACCGCGCAGAAGGCGATGGCCCATGGGGAAGGCTCCTGGATATTGATGGGCTGGGCCTCAGACCAAGGGCTCCGGGCTCCTGGCCCCTGGCGCCGGTCGGCAAGCGTATGGCCGTGGCACTGGCCATGCAGGTGAATCTGGCACTGGGGCAAGAGCCTCCGCCAGCTGCAGGCCCCTCCAGCCACATTGCAGTAGTCCCTGCCGCCATCTGCAAGTAGAACCTCCCCTTACCCTTCCACAGCGCAGGAAGTCAGCCTGGGAGAGCCCACTGCCCAGCGCAGAGAGCCAGAGCGCCCGGTTACACAGTCTGTGTCCCCTGCACCCACTGACCCTCGTGCCATCGTGGCTCTGGGACACCTGTGTGGATGTCTGTGTGAGACGCGTCTGGCCTCAGCTCAAGTCCTTGGGAGGGCTGCTGCCCTGACATCTCCTCGCCCACTGCCCCGAATGGCTCTGTGTGCCCTGCACACCTTCAGCTCTCTGCCCCCTGCCCACATGCTTTCCTGTAGGGTGGCATTCCCCAGGGCTCCTGCGGGGGCCACTGGGACCGTCACTGGCTGTAAAACACCATAAAGTCACAGTGGTGTGTCCCCACAGAAGGCCAGCCCAGTGCACACACACACGGGGCCTGGTGAATTCTACGCTCTTCAAGTGCAAGGCAGCGGGATGCTGTCACCTGGATTTCCTGCTCGAGAGATGCTGTGAACAGCATCAGTTGGAGCTTATTAAACAATTGCCAATCCCACTCTGCAACGCAAGAAGGGTCAGCTGCAGAGTGCTCGTAAGGCTGACCGGGGTGTGGCCGAGAGCTGCAGGATATCGTGCCCCTGCACAGAGCTCAGGCCTCCAGCTAGAGCATGCAGTGTGCGCACCAAGGTCCCCGGAGACGCCATGGTTTGCTGTGCTTGCTTCTCAAAGGGGAACCCCGGAGCCCCAGCAGTTTGGTGGGCATCGAGGAATTAGTGGGGCTTAGTCCCTGTCACAGCCCTTATCGCAGAGGACGCTTCTGGTCACATGCCAGGTAGTCCAACTCCAAGGATCAGACGAGACAACAAGGAACCCGTTCCCATGAGGTCCTGAGCCGGAACGCATCCAGGACGCCGCCGCGGAGCCCGCTCTGCCCGTCCTGCTGCGCTGCCTCCTCGGGGTGCCGCCTCAGCCCTGCTGGCCTCCTCATACTCTCAAGTGACCAGGTTCTTCCAGGTCTCACCCAGCACCCAGCAGCAGCAGAAAGCCTGTCTCTCTTGGGCATCAATTTTGAGAGGCAACTCTCCCCGAGCCCCCTCTTCAGAAGCCCTCATGTGTCACTGGCTGGATTATGTCACCTGGGTATGCTTAAGCCCACCGCGGACTAGAGGAGCAGGTTGTTGGACCACCCCTGACCCCTCAGGCTACCCGAGCCAGCCTCTCCTGAAGGCTGTGGCTGTGCAAGGGGCTAGGTGACCACAGGCCAAGGTCCTGCCCACAAGCGGGCACTGTGGCGGAAGGTCCTCGACCTGCACGAGGGAAGCGATGTGTCAGGTTTCTGACCCCAAATCCCTGTCCTCTGGGTCTCTCCACAGCAGACGGGGCAGGGCTGACACCACAGGTGTCACCACCCTTCCCTGTCACCAGCCTCGCAGGAGTGCTGCTCCATGGGCCACTTGCCATGCGGGGTGCTGAGGGCTCCCGATCACTTCTTCCAGGCAGGGCCGACAGTGGCCCAGGGCCTCCAGCTTGTTCCAGCCCCATGGTCTGCCCGCCACGCCCAGCAGATGAAAGGTGGCCAGTGGGTGGTGGGTCGGGCAGCCTCTCCTGGCGCCTCTCCCCTTCATCCGCGGTATGAGGCTGAGGGAGCGAGGAGCCAGCATGGCCCAGCATCATCGGAGGAAGTTTGGGGCAGGCTGCAAACTGACCACAGCTGGCCCAGGACAAGGACAGCCAAGGACCAGGCGCGTCGCCAGGGGCAGCACTGTCCTCTCACCATGGCCTCGGCACCGCCTGGCCTGGGCCCGAGGAGGGTGTGCCAGAACACGCTGTCCCTCTCCAGCAGGGGCTTGAGGCCGTGAGTAAGGGGCAGCGAGGAAAGCCCAGGGCCCTGGAGACTTGTGTCCGCGTCCCCCGTCTGTGAGACCGGGTGCCGCTGGTGCTCTCCTGCCTGGCTCCCCCTGTTCTGTTTAATGGGACCACACGGCTGGGCACCTCGAGGACCAGGAGGTACACGGAGCACCTGACACGCAGCTGGCTCCAGAGAGGGGGATTCCACTGTCATTACCCCTGAACTTGGGCCAGGACAATGGGGCCAGGTCCAGGCTCCTTGGTGAAGCTCTTGGGTTTGGCCATCTCTGCCCACTTCTCACTTATTGGCGTGTGGCCTGCGTCGGCCTGGAGTGGTGACCTGGCTCTCCCACAGCCTGGCACCCGCGTGTCCTCTGCAGCTCGACTTTGTGATCCCCTGGGGAGCGGCTCTGAAGTCCTCTGAACGCTCCCACTTGTCCAGGACTGGAAATGAACGTCTGAGGGACTGACATGTCCCCCGGCTGGGTGTACGAGTCCTTACTGTCACCATAACAAATGCGTAAGCCTTCGTTGTTTAAACAACACAAACTCTCGACCGTCGTGGGGGTCAAGGGTCCCGAGTGATTTCCATGAACTGTAAACCTAGGTGTGGGCAGGGCAGTGCTCCCTGGAGCTCTGGAGGGGGACAGCGGGGTCCTGTGTTTCCTTCATCTGGACTCCGCCTGCACTCCTGGCTCCTGGCAACTGGTTCCAGTGTGTTTTCTGGTTCCTGCCTAGACTGTCATGTTCAGAGAGCCAGAGTCCACCCAGTATCCAATGCACATGCTCAGCCCTGCCTCCATTGGACTGTGTCCCTCTTTTTAGGACTCCTGTGCTTTGATCGGGCAGGCCTAGACAGCCAGGACAATCCCCTCACCCGAAGATCCTTAATTTAATTACACCTGCCGTGTCCCCTTTACCAAGTGAGGGTCACGTCCACAGATTCTGGGAAGTAGGACGGGGACACCTTCCGCCTGCAACAGTGGGCCCAGAGCAAGCCTGCCTGGAAGTGACCAAACCTGCATTAGATGCCCCCTGCTCTCCACACTCCAGGGTGGCACCAGGCCGGGGGCAGCTGATGGGCTGAGGACAGTGCTGCCCAGGGAGAAGGAGCTAGGTTATTTCTTTTCTTTTTTAAAAAAAATTTATTCTGCTTTGTTATATTGACAGAGAATTCATTGCGATTCATGTTGCACAATTTTTCATATCTTTGGTTGTATTTGTGTGTGTGTGTGTGTGTGTGTGTGGTGCTGGGTATTGAACCCATGGCCTCGTGCCTGTGAGGCAAGCACTCTACCAACTGGGCTGTGTCCACTGCTAGATTATTACTTAAGACTAAGAATGAGACTGGGCTTCACTCACCCTGCCTCTGGGTGGACACTGGCTCTCTCAATATGACAGTCCAGGCAGGAACCAGAAAACACAGTGGCTGACTTGGCAGAGAGGGCACTAGCCGGTGCCGAGGGACTGAAAGGGCATCAGGGAGCCCTGTTGCCCCAGGCTTGGCCATGCTGTGGATGGCCACTGCTCACCAGTCACCTGGCAAGCCTGTGGGAAGAGAAGGAGTTTCACACCTGAGTCCTGTCAGCTGGCTGCTGGCCCTTGGAATATGGCGGAATGCAGATGTTAAGTACCACTTTAGCAAAGTGGGTCTGCTTTGCTGACCCTGAGTTGGACGCATGCCTTACACAGACTCCTGCTAAGAAACAGTGCAAAACCCCAAACACCACAAATCACACCCAAGTGGAAGCCAGGAAAATGGCAGAACCAACCATCTTCTTCCTGAGCCAGGCTCCTCATGAGACACTTCCTGAAAACAGAGACTGCCATTCAGTGGACCAGCAAAGGGGTCAGCACCCGCACCCGCACCCAAGGAGTCTTCCAAAACACAGGTGGAGGGTGCAGCGTTGTCAACCCTATTCCTCACCCCACGTTCCTATTCCATCTTCAGATATGAGCTGGTAATGATAGAAACCATCACAATTAGCACTAAGAAGAGTGGTTCCATCTTTTACTCAGCATTTTAAAAATCCCCGCGTTGATAACAAAAGTACATGGTACCAGCATAAAAACAGACACACAGGCCACTGGTACAGAACAGGAGGCCCAGGGACAAGTCCACACACCTCAGTCATCTGACCCCTGACGAAGGAGCCACACACTGACCTGGAGAAAAGGCAGCCTTTTGAACACACGGGACAACTGGTTGTCCACATGCAGTGAGGGAGCCTGGACCCTCACCTCTCACCCAGCACGAAAATCAACTCAAATAGATGAGAAACTAGGCAACTCCTAGAAGAAAACGTAGGGTCACCACTCCACTTTTAGACACAGGCAGTGTCTGGAATATATAAAGAACTCAGAAAACTTCACACCAAAAAATCAGATAACCCCAATTAATATATGGGCAAACGAATTAAAAGACTTCTCAAAAGGAGAAATGCAGTTAAGGAAATGCAAATCAAAACCACACTGAGATTTCATCTTACTCCAGTCAGAGGCTGAATCCAGAACACAAGTAACACTAAAGGCTGGTGGGAGGGAGCAGTGGACACTGTGGGTGGACTGTCAATGAGCACAGCCACCATGGACATCAGTGTGGAGGCTCCACCCCAGGCCCCGGGGACACACGCCTCAGGGTTTCGCTGAAGGATCAAGGACATCCTACGTGGGACAGGGAGACAGCCCACCGGGGTCCCAGCAGCACAGAGCGCAATAGCCGAGCTGCGGCACCAGCCTAGGTGTCCTCACAGGATGAGTGGACAGAGAAAACAGGGTACATACGCAGTGGCGTGCTCTCAGCCATAAAGAGAATGAAATCGTGGCATTTGCAGGGAAATGGATGGAACTGGCGATTGTCGTGTTTGCAAAGTCGGCCAGACTCAGAAGGTGGGGGACACAGGACCTCTCCTGTATGCGGAACCTGGAGAGGAAAAGGGGAAGGAAAGTGGGGTGGGTCTCCTGGAACCAAAGGAGATCAGGGAGGAGAGGGCCTGGGGGGAGGGCCTGAGGGAGGGGGCTGCGGGGGAGGGACGCTGCCACCTCATGTTGTCACGCTGGGCGCAGGTACAGTCACGCAGCACGGAGCCCCACCAGTGCGCACCACTGTGATGCACCAAGTTAAAAAATGGGAAGAATTCCCACTTTGATAGGGGCTTCCTGTTGTGCCTAGAATATGAGAACCGTGATGTGTCCGCAGGTTGTACTGCAGGGCTGGGCTGGGGCTCAGGGCAGAGCGCTCGCCTTGCACGTGCGAGGCACTGGGTTCGGTCCTCAGCACCACATAAAAACACGAATAAAATAAAGATGTTGTGTCCACCTACAACTAAAAAGTAAAAATAAGTGCACATACTTCACACGCAGTCCTCGGGAAGTTTCTGAGGGTCCATGATCCAAACGCTCTGGAGAGGCAGTCTGAGGATCCGCGGCTGCTAGCTGGGGGGAAGCCAGCGTCGGATGGCAACGCAGACACGCTGGGCACACGAGCAAACCCATCCCACGTGGAAGGCACCCTAAGCAGAAAGTGCATTTAATGAGCACCACTGTCCACCAGAGAGTGTGGACAGGCTGTCAGCCTCCAGGTGACAGAGCTGAGGCAGGCTGGGCTCACTCCTGCTGCCCGGGGACAAAAGACTGCTTGGCCCAGGGAAAGGTCAATTCAGAATAGAATGGTGTGGCTTCCGCACCATCGTGAGGGTGAAATTACAGGCAGGAGCCACTGCATGTGCTGGGTGCTCAGTGTTTCCTGCCATCGAGGAGTGCAGGAAGGGACCGCCACGGTGCAGAGATGGGGGACCGCCTCTGTAACAGGAGGGGGCTGCCCGGCAGGTGCACTAGAATCCAAAGGGTTCCGTCCTCCCCAGAGCACGGGTCCTGCAGGGTTGAGTTGGCAAAGGAGCTTCCAGCAGCCAGGCCGTGGGCGCAGCCGGGGCCTTCCAACCCCGTGGGGAGTGTTGGTCCCAAGGACTGGACAGCCCCAGGCAGGGGCTCTTCTGAGCGTCTCATGAGCGATTCGCAGGGACTCCCTGAATTTCCGTACATTCCACCCATAAATGCCAGGGACCATGTCTTTACAGGGAAGTCTGTACTTTTATCAGATCCTGAAGGGTTCCGAGGCTTGGGGGTTTACAGGAGCCACGGTGTGACCCAAGCTTGGACAGGGATGTTGCCTGGGCCAAGACACCTGGCTTCCGAGCCTCAGCCTCCCCGATCTGTACCTTGGGGACAGTCCTGCCGATGCACAGGTGGGGGGTGCGGTGCCCGGCCCTTGAGGAGCCTGCTGGGGTAGCTGTGCCCAGGACAGTGACTCCTCCCCAGGCCCGGGCTTCCCTGAGCTCCTGCTTCAGTGTCCCAGCAGCCTCCTGGTTTATTTGGGGTGGTTTCTTGGGGTCTCCTGGAGAAAGAGGGTCAGCTCTGCCCCAGGAGGTGGCCCTGCCCTCCCTGTGGGGGGGGGGCTCCCAGCTCCCGTGGCTTCCCAGCCGAGAAGCGATGCTGCAGGGTGACCTCCGAGGATGCTGACAAAACAAGACCCAGCCCCAAGGCAAGGCATCCAGCCCCGCGCAGCACCAGGTGCCTGGCCTTGGCTCTCCTCCCCGGCCTCCAGGGGCCGAGCACCACCCTGGCACACCTGGGGGTAGGGCTGGTGGCCCAGCACTCCCCACTGGCCTTCCCAGCCCCGTCATGGTGCTCAGGTCACGAGACACGGTGCTTCTTCGGGACTTCCCGGAGGTCCTGCCTCCAGCCCTAGGTCTCTGGGGTGGGGTGAGGGTTGGGGCAGGCACTTTGGTCAACACGACCAAGAGCAGCACCTCCCTTGGATGCTCTCTTGCTCCTTTGAGTTAAACTCACCCGTGGTCTTAAAAATCACCTCTGTTCTGGGGTCAGAATGAAGGGTTTGATCCCAGCTCCACCAGAGATAGCTGTGTGGCCCTGGGAAAATTGGTCCATCTCTCTGAGCCTCAGACTTCTAGTCTGCAAATGGCGATCCCCAGCGTTCCTGTCCCAGTGGGCTCTTGGGAGGCTCAAAGTGTGAAGTGCTGATGTGGGAAGATGCTGGCAGCTACTGTTGTGTTAGTTGTCCGGGTACAACCTCAGGAAATCAGAAACAGAACAACACCAAGAAGAAAACCCGAGGTGCTCAGAACCCCAGGACCTGTGCCCACACTTGCCGGCCTTCCCGGGGTTCCTGGATGTCTCTCCCTGCGTCCGAGTACCCATCTTGGGCCCCTTCTGGGTAGAGTGGAGCCTTTTCTCTTAGCCCACTTCCCTCCAGCTGAAACCTACGTCCAGAACGTCCCCTCTGAGCCCACACTGGCCACGGTATATAATTCACACTCCAGTGTTTCTGAAACAGGAACGTGTTTTAGAACCAATGTCGAAAGAGGCATCTCGTCTCCTCCCCCTGAACCAGGGCCGCGCAGTCCGAGGTACCAGCTTAGGGGACGAGGGGTAGGTCCCAGGAGATGTCTGCAGAGGCCACCTGGGCTCCCCAGTGCCACCGTCACCCTGAACGGCCTGGAGCTGGGACCCTTCTGCTCCTCCCAGTCCTTCACTACTGACTGCTGCCCGCTTGGCCTGGCAGGAAGCACAGTTCTCTGGGATCCTGGACTCAGTCGCAGGAGGGACGAGGGGCCTTTGGTCAAGACCACGGCCAGCCTCCCTCCTTCCGGTTTCAGGCCAGGCTGAACCCGAGGTCCAGGGAGGGGTGCTTTCTCAGCTCAGTCTGGGGAGGGGAGGGAGGCCCCTCGGGCATCAAGATGTCCAGCACCGAGGCCTGCTGAGCAGGGCTGCAGAGTGGAAGCTTTAGCTGGCTGTCCCCTCCATCACGGAGCAGAAGGCACCAGGAGAGGCCCTCCTAGCGCCAGGGACAGATTTCCCACAAATCACGTGCTCCGAGGCACAAGAGGGTGCCTCGTCCTTTTCCCGAGTTCCGTCTTAGGCCTGCATTTCGGGCGGCTGCAGGTGGTGGGCACTGCAGGTCAGCACTCCTGAGGGGAGGACAGGGGACATGGCTGCAGCAAAAAGAAGGGGCTGCCTGCCACTCTGGCAGGGAGGCGAGGGCGGGCGCTGTCACGCCCACCGCCTGACATCCTGCCTGGCCCCCCCAGCAGCGCTGACATTGTGGCCACACACCCCCAGCTCCTCCTCCTGCGGCACAGTGTGACCCTGAGCTCCGCCTTCCGTGCTGGGTCCCTGCCAGTGGCTGGTGCTGGCTCAGGGGTGGCTCCGGCCACCACGACGGGGGAACCCTTCCACAGCAGGCTGGACAGCTAGCGACACTGCCCGCTTTGGAACGCCGCGGTGAAGTGGCAGCAGACAGGGATGGGGCGTCACAGCGCAGGCCTCAGCCACTGCGCAGCTAGGGCTTTGGAGTGGCCCACAAGAGCGAAGGCTCTGGTGACCATGACGGGGCAGAGGTAGGGCTGGCTGAACAGATCTGAGGGCTCACAGGATAGAAAGGTGACCGCCAGACCATGGGAGGGCTGCAGGGGACAGGGGTGGGACAAGAACTAACGGCAGCCTTGGTGGGGGGTGTTTCTGCTGGGACCAGTGTCTGCCCCTCACGGAGGCACTCAGACCTCTGATTGTGGGGTGCTCTGGACAGGCTCAGGCCACCAGGGTCCTCCGTGCAAAGGGCCAGGTCCTCACAACTGGAGCGACTCACTGTCCTTTCCAGATCCTGGCCCTCGGGCCAGGCGCTGCTGACTCTGGTTACACAGGGCTCTGGGCAGCCTGCGCCCCAGGCACAGGGAGGGGTGCTCAGCAGAGTGGGGAGTGTGAGTCACCATGTCTCCCAGCCAGGCCAGGGAGAGGCTGGCAGGCAGTCGGCGGCAGCCATCCACCAGCGGCCGAACCTCGGCCCACCAGAGGCCAAGTGGCTCCCTGCCCCTCGGCCCCAGGAATCCACCCCCACACAGCCCCGGGCTGTGGGCTCCGCCTGGAGGAACGCCCTTCTCTGGGCTCCTCCAGGCTCCAGCTGGGCCTGTCAGAAGCCACACGTCCGCGTCCTGACTTCCTGGAGGACCCGGAAAGCCATGGCTCCCTCCTTTGTTCTTGGGCATGGAGCCTCCCTAGCAGGGTTATTGAAATGGTGCCCGCCCGGCGTGTCAGAGCCTGGCATGACACCGTGCCCAGCCACGCGGCTGTGCTGCGTCCTGGACCCAGCCAGGAACGTTTCCGTCCTGAGGGCTGGTCCCCTCCCCCTGCCCTTCCCTGGATCTCGGCCATTTCCCCAGATGCTGTAAAATGGATGCTGCCCTCGTGGGAAGGAAGTGTTTTGGCTACTTAAAATTAAACCAAACCAGAAACTGACCTTGACCTTGCCTTCCAGGGGAGGGCAGAGCTCACACAGGGTGCTGCTGGCCCAGGTGCTCTCGCCAGTCAGGGGCAGAGGAGGACGGTGGCTTCCATGCATCAGTTAGTGCTGCCAACAGAGTGTCCAGTCCAGTCCTGGCTCAGTCAAGCACTTGAGGAGCTCAGGACTCTTGGCTGTGGACGACAAAAATTCAGCCCTGATCACTGAAGAAAAACCGTGTGTGTGTGTGTGTGTGTGTGTGTGTGTGTTGCTGGGGAAAAGTGACATTATGTGACTTCCAAGATGGATCTTAAGGGACAGCACCACTGCTACCTGGTGTGCTGTGTGGGCCTGCTGACCCTGGGGAGCCAGCAGCCATGCTGTGAGGAAGCCCAGCCAACCTCTGCGGAGAACCTGCAAGGACAGGCCTGCATCGTGAGGCACCGAGCGTCAGCTGCCAGAGGAGAGAGACCCTGAGCCTTCTGATGACCCCAGCCTCTGGCCATGGCGTCCCCCAGGTGTGGCCCCAGACAAGGCAGAGCAGAAAGGTCATCTGGGTGCGCCTTGTGCTGACCGCGGAGCCCCCCAGCAGGGCTGCCATTTTCTTCTGAGGCTCCCGCTGGGGTGACTGGTCATGCAGCCACATCCCCGCACCACAGGGTGGCAGAGGAAGTGCCCCTCCCCTCCCAACCTCCACCCATCAGTCCTTACAAAGTGTTCAGTCTCGGTGACAGTCACAGCCCTAAACCACTCACCATGCTGGGGAGAGCTCTGGCCGGCTGGGGAGCTGGGAGACGCGGGGGGGACAGAGAGTCCACCTCGTCAGGTCCAGTGGGAGCTGTGGGGAGTCACCAGGGAAAGGGGGGCCTGGGGGAAGGACATGTCCAGGCCCACTTGGTGCAGATGGGCAGGTCTGGTGCTTCCTGAGAGCTGCCCTCAAGAAGACTGCATTGGTGGGCACAGGTATGCGGGGTGGGGACAGGAGCGGCTGCCTGCCCTGGCAGGCGTGGGTAGGAGTGGAGACAGCGGGAGAAGACGTGGGCACTGATGCGGTGCCCGCTTGCACGGCCCCAGTGCTCCTGGAGGGCCCGCGCCACTCAGCCGCATCAGTGCTCAACATGCACTCCATTCAGTGGGACTGTGCCCCTCGGAGGGCAGGGGCACATGATGGTTCGCATTCATGAGGGTGGCATTCTCACTGCTGGAACAAAGGCCAAGCCAACAGTGGCTTAAACAAAATAGAATTTTGTTCCTTTCTTGTGAAACACCCTCGATTAAGCAATTCAGGCTAACAGGCTACTCTGGTGCTCTTTTATTTTTATCTTGTTGGTCTGCCATCTTCAATATGTGGTTTCCATGAGATCTAAGCTGGCTGCTCCAGCTCCTGCCAGCACGTCTGCATTCCAGCCAGGTAGAGGGAATATAAGGACAAGGCTAGGAAGTTTCACTCAGCTCTCTGCTGATCACATGGCCATGCCTAGCTGCAAGGGAGGCAGGGAGATGTAGTCCTCGGCCAGTGGTCATGCACTCCAAGGGTTCTAAAGCTGAAGGAAGATGGAGTAGTGGGCTGGGGATGTGGCTCAGTTGGTAGGGCACCTGCCTGGCAGGTGCAGGGCCTGGCATTCTATTCCCAGGGCCACCAACCAAAAATGAAAGGAAGAAAGAAGGGGAGGCCGGAACCGAACGACAGGGGCCGACGTGGCCTGAGACACTTGAGCCTGAGGCTGGAGGGACCGCGACACGAGAGGCAGCGCGGTGCAGTGGCGGGCGTTTGGGCCCCACAGTCACATTTCCGGGAGGTGTGACCTTGGCTGTCCCTTGGTTAGCTGGAACTCCTCACCACTGAGCACACTTCTGTTTCTGGGGCTGGCACTGTAGCTCTCCAGAGCCGGATGGTTTAAGTGACGACGTTTTAGTTGACGTTGTGCGGAAGCCTCTTGCAGCTAAACGGCGCCCGGTGTTCAGTGAGAGACAAGTGGGAAGGACAGCGCCCTTACAGAGTGAGTGAGGTCATCGGTGCAGCAGAGGACATGTGTGCTTGCCCATGTGCACCCGAGCAGGGCCAGGACTGCGGGACAGCTCCACGCAGCCACCGCGGCAGTCACCAGTGTGCCCGTGGGGAGGGGCCTGTGGAGCTGGTGCTAAAAGAAGGCCCGGGTGCCGTCCAACCCCCCTCCCCACCGTGGGCAAGGCGCAGAAGCAGCCGGCCTTCCCCCTGTCACACAGTGCTCAAGCTCCCAACCCTAGCTCAGCCTTTCTGGGGACAGTGGGGGTGCCCAGAGGGAGAACAGCTCACTCATCTGCTCTGTGGCACCCGCCTCTGTGAGCTTCCTGTGGCCGCCCCAGATGCGCCAGGTGCGGCGGCCACAGGCTCGGACCTGAAGACAAGAAGAGCGTGTCCCCCTCCCCCACGCTGAGGCCAGAGGACTGCTGTGACCCTGTGGCAGGGCCATGTCCACCTGCCCTCCGAGGGCTCCAGAGAAGAGTCCCGCTCTGCCCCTCTGCTCCCGGGGCTCCGGCGGTCCTTGGCGCCCCGTGGCTCACGGCCTCAGTCTTCTGACGGTCCTCCCTGCCTGCCTCTGGTGCCCTCTCTGCTGTGAAGAGTCCCTCCCACTGTGTCCCAGTCCACCCCCTCCATGCCCCATTCCCTGGCAGGGGCACGTCCAGGGCCCTGGGTGCGTGTGGCTCTTCGGGGACAGCTCTTGGCTCTGAGCACCTCCGGCTGCAGGGTCCCCATCCTGCCCAGATGGAGTCTGACCCTCACCTCCCACTCCTGCCCTGTCCTCCTCCTGTCCGCTCTGCAAGGGTCTCTACACCAGCCATTGTGAACAGTGTCCCACTGGGATGGGAGGGCGGTGCCTGCCCGGAATGTCCCGAGCTGCTCTTGGAAGAGCCTGGGGAGGAGACGAGAGATCAGCCCGGGAGCAATGATTAACAGGAGAAGTGTCACGAGGCAGGATCTCACTCGACCTCGTGGAGATTGGCGCCCAGAGCCTCCGGTGGCTGTTCACGGGTCACTTTTTCCTTCCACTAAAACCACAAGGAGGAAACGTCCCCGGGGCACGTTGGCCAGTTGAGGCCCGAAGACTGCGGGCACAGAGTCAGGCCACCCGCACACATCGCTCTTTTGAGGGGGAAGCAATGAACACGGCAGGTCTGTTGTTGCTGAGAGTCCAGACCCGTGGACAGAGGGACGGAGGGGGCCACGAGGCCAGGCTCTTGGCAGCCTCTGACCCAGCGGCCGCAGGGCGGGACGCTGCATGGGGTTGTTTAAAAGGTGCCTGTGCATGGTTTTCTGAGACCCTGGGGAAACGTTAGCTGAGGTCCCGTCTGATCATTCTAAGGCTGGAAGGGTCTGGACCTCATCGGGCCAACACGGTCTTCTATAGCATTTGTGATGCTCCTTTTATCAATCTAAAATCAATTTCACAGAAAGCATAACCCTGCACACATAATAATAATAATAATAATAATAATGATAATAATGAATTAATAATGATATAATGCCCTCCTGTGAATAGAAAGTGACCAGGAGAGTCAGCCACAGCAAACGGCTGGATGCCAGGAGGGAGGCGAGGAGCCGGCCACTTCAGAGCGGGTGGCATGGCGGGTTGCCGTGCTGAGGGAGGCTCCCGGGAAGGCTGTCGCCGCCACGTCCCCCAGGGACTGGGCGACTCTGTGGCCTTGCAGCTGCCCCTCATTTTCCACGATGCAGAACAGGGCAGTGGCCGCCCGGATGGGAAAACGTCTTCTTCATGCGGAGGCTGCTTTCCCGGAATAGCCAAAGTGTAACTATGCAAAGAGCAAACAAAGAAATGGGGTTCGCTCCAGACCACAGTCCTCAGGGGATGTTTGCTGGCGTCAAGTTCTGGGACATCAGGAAGCCGGAAGTCCTGGGCTCTGGGGGCTGTCAGCTCATGGAACCCCTGCGAGTCTCCAGAGCGCCCCCTGGGGGCAGCTGTGCCCCTGTTGGGACCAGCGACCTGCCCTCGGGTGGTTTAGGGCTCAGAGAGGGTGCCCTGCAGTGCTATCATCACCAGCTGTGTGGCAGAACCTGGTGTCCTGGCTGGGCAGGGACTTGAAGGCACAGGAGGCGGCCACTTTAGCACAGCTTGTTCCCTCCTTGACTCAGTTCCTGCGTCCTGATGAGCGGGGCTACCTCTAGACAAGAAAAGCTTCTATCTAGGCTAGTGGCCTGTGGACGAGCACGGGGAAGAGGAAGAAATCGACCCCATTGCAGGTTGCGACAGAAATGTTCAGCCGGGCCAAGTCCCAGCTGCCCAGGCTGTGTGCCCCTGGGCAAGTTACTCACCTTCTCTCTGAGCCTCAGGGCTCTTCTCTGTAAGGGGGGGTCTAATATATCCCCCCAACTCACAGGGTGGGAGTCCTCAATGCGAAAGACGCACATAAAACACTCCTTGGCACAATCCCAGCCATGGACATTCCCGCGCAGAGAGCACGAGAGGCTCACATAGGTGCCCCAGCCTGGAGGGAGGGGCTCGGCAGGGAAACGCTTTCCCATCTCCTCCTGTTGGTGGGTTGGCTTTGCAACTCAGTGGCTTCAAGTCCACTACAGCTGTGCAGCCATGACTTCTGTCCAGCTCCAGAACATTCCCAAGAACCTGCCCTTCCCCTCCCCCGCCAGCCCCGGGCAGCCCCAGCCACTGTTCTGTCCCCAAGACCTGCCTCCCCTGGGCCTGTCCTGTGAGTGGAGTCCCACAACACGGTGTTCCGAGTCCAGCTGCTTCCACCGGGCCCTGTCCCCGAGGTCATGGTCCATAGCAGGATCAGCACACGCTCTCTCCATGACTGCATCGTCCTGCAGGGCTCTCGCGGACCTAGGCCTCCTCAGTGGGTGGACAGGTCTGTCCTCCACTTCAACGGAAGTATGAGGGTTCATACTGGGAGGCAGCGAGCCTCCCGTGGAGCTGCTGTGGTGACCGGGAGGTCCCCCCAGCTCATGGGAGACAATGCAGGAGCATCCCAGGGGCAGCGATGAGACGGTGGGGGCTGTGGCCTAACCTGCAGGCTGATCCTTCTGATGGACTCCTGTCCTGGGCGGTGACTGAGGCCGGGGGTCTGGCTGGCGAAAGCCGTGTGCCCTTGGGGACAGCGGTGTGCCCTTGGGGACCGTGTTTGGTCCCTGGCACTTCTCTCGCTCTCTCTCTGCTTCCTGGCTGCCACCAGCTGAGCAGCCGTCCTCTGGTCAGGAGCGGAGCCCTCGCTGCTGCCTCCACACGAGCAGAGCAAGGGAGCTGACCAGCCGTGGACCGGACCTCGGAAACCGTGAGCCTTGAAGGACCTTTTTGGTCACAGCAATGAGAAGCTGAGTAACGACGGGGCTCACCCCGACCTGCACCCAGGAAGCCCGGGTGACCTGTCCAGCACACCACAGGCCAGTGTGCGCTGTCAGCGGGCCTGAGTGGCCACAGGCCAGAGAGATGGGGAGAGGGTCACACAGGACGGTCCAGGAGATCGGCCCAAGGTGCTGCCACCAGCCGCAGCTCAGTCCTGGGTGACATTGATTCAGAAGCAGCGTGCCCTCCCCATCCCGGCCTCTCCTGAGGCCACAGCCAATAGACCCTGGGATCTGCTGGGAGGGGGGACGTCCTTCCCAGTGGAAGCCACACCTGGACGATGCCCTCTTCCTGGGTGTTCTCGGTCTCTGTCTCTCTGTCTCTCTCCCACACACCCCGCCTGCAACTGCAGCGCTGTCACGCCACTGGGTGGAGCCAAGCCCGAGGGCAGAGTCTGGGTTCCCGGTGGCAGCGTTGCTCTGGGAACCACGTCGGGGCGGCCTGCTTCTGGATGCCTCGTGAGATCGCGGACATTTTAATCCAATCTCCTGTTCGTCACAGCCCCGCTGACCCTGGGCTACGCCCGCGTGGGCAGGGAGGCCAGGGAGGCTTGAGCTTCCAGAGAGGGCAGAGGGCAGCTCAGAGGTGAGCCAGGAAAAGGCTCCAGGTCAGCGGGCGGCAGGGGATGGGCAAAGCAAGAGAACCTGAAAGTCTGAAGGATGCTGAAACGGCTAACGAGGCTGGGCGGGGCTTAAGGTCACCCAGGCGGGCCTCGCAGAGCCCACAGCACGACGGACGGGGCGAGCGGGGGCATCCCCACCTCGTTCCACGAGGCCAGGGGCCCCTGAGGTCCAAACCCGACGGAGCCAGGCCAGAGCGCCCTCCAGGCCAGGCGCAGAGCCTCCAGTGACACACGGCTGCTCCTGACCCAGGAAGGCAAGGGCCATCTGACCTCAGGGACGGTCCTGCTGCTCAGGGCATTAGCAGCTGTGAAGGAGGAGGGCCTGGTGCCCACGGGGGCCGTCCTTGCGGAGCAGAGAGAAGTGGCTGGGACCCCCTTTCTCCTAGAGAAGAGCCTGGCGAGGTAGGAACAAAATCAGGCCTCCTCAGGGCATAAGGCACCCCAGCCCTGAGAGCCTCCTTAGCCTGCAGCCTCTCTGCAAGCAGAAACGAAGGAGAGTGACCGTCTGGCCCAACACTGCCCAGAGAGCTTCCTGCAGAGGCCTCGGGGCTGGAGAAACAGCATCTTTCCCAGAGAAGCCGTCCACCCTGAAGCCTTGAATCTTCAGAAAAAAAACATTAAAGTATCTCACAGGGTCTTGTCCCTAAGAGCCAGGGGACGGAACTGTTCGACTTAGACCAGAGCAAAGCCACCTCAGAGTGGCCGCAGCACAGCTGTGCCCAAGGCCAGCGTTGGCTCAAGAATGTGGGGCATCTGAGCCTCATCGTGGTGCAGAGGTCCCACCTGGCAGGGAGCCACCTCTGCCTGGTGTCCCCTGCAATCCTCGTCTTCACGCTCCTGGCGGGCCTCCCCCGGTGCCTCTCCTGAGTCCCTTCTAAGCAACCTAGTGTGCAACCGATCGGCTGGACACTAGGGCCGCCCGCCTGGCCCCGGTGGCAGCAGGTTAGCGTTTCCGTGCAACGTGGCTGCTCCTCAGTCTCGCCCCCCAGGAGGAAGCTTCTGGAGGTGGCTCCCCCCTCAGCACCTACAGCCAGCCCCTCTCCTTCCAGATATGCCAGCTGCCTGCAGCCCCTGAGCCCGTGGGCATCAACAAACGCACAAACAGAAGTGGGAAACTCAGCAGGGCTTGCGGGGACGGCTCGGCTCTGTCTTGCAACTTGGGTCAAGATGAGTCGGCGGCTGGGAGCCAGGTGGGCCTGAGGGTCCTCTCCCTCCCAGGTCTGGGGACACCTCGGCTGCGGCCGTTGGCTGAGATGCCCCTTTCAACGTCCGCCTGGCGCTGGCTCCGGGTAGTCTGCTTGCTGGTTTTGGTGCAGGAGGATGAGCCCAGGGCCACCAAGCCACGTCCCCAGCCCTGTTTATTTCTCACTGTGGGACAGGGTCTCTCTAAGTTGCCCAGGCTGGCCGTGAGGCTGCCGCCCTCCTGCCTCAGCCTCCCCTGTTTCTGGGACTAGAGTTGTGGCTGCTGTGTCCAGCTCTCACGGGGTCACGTTGGCCACCGTCACAACGCTCCCAGATTCAAGGGAAGGAAACAAGACCCCATGATGGAGGGGAGGAGAGGTGAGACCCGTTGTGAGATCACAGGGGGGACCTGTCAGGTGTGGGTCTGCGATGTCCCTGGAGCTGCTGTGCCAGGCCTCCGGTGGGGGGTAGGGCGAGGACCAGGACTGGACCTCTGGAGCCATGAGCAGAGTTAACCCGACCCCCCAAGTCGTTTATGGAGGTGTCGGTCACAGCAACGAAAAGTGACCAACAGGTTCTCTCCTGGCCGAGAGGAAGGGGGAGAGGGAGACGGGACAGCGAGAGCTGAGGTGCTTCCTCTTATAGGGACTGTCACAGGGCCAACTCAAAATTCAATCAAAACGAGGGTGTTTCCAGGTGAGTCACCTGGGGGGCCCACGGCGCAGCCCGCGGTGGCAGGGGTCAGTGGTGGGTAGCCGAGGAAAGCTGGGAACAGAGACGGACACGCAGTGTGAGTGTGGCCACCACCAGCAGCGGCAGACGCGGTGTGCGCCCTCTGCGGAGGCTCACGACACCCGGAGGTGGCAGAGGACTCCAAGCACAACGGGAGGCCGGGTGAGTGTCTTCCGCTCTTGGTCTTTCCACATACCGTCCTGTTGCCCTGGGGCCCATGAGCCCTGCTGCCTGCCTGGGCGTCCTCCTGCCTTGGCTGGGCCTGTCCCTGCGCCCGCCCAGGCCTGCCGGGGCAGCCTCGCGGTGGGGAGCCTGGAGTGCTCGCGGAAATGTCCCTGGAATCTGGGAAACTTCTCATCAGCTCAGGGTCAAGCTAACCACAGACCCTGGCCAGGTCGTCCCCAGGGGCTGGCGAGCACCTCCTCAGACTGGACGCCGTCCTCTCTGCCGGAGATGCAGAAACGTCAAGCGTGTGAGATGAGGGTCGCCCAGGCCACCTCTGCTGCCTCTCTGTTGCATCTGATGACACTTGACATGCTCCACGGTGAGGCACAGGCGGGTCTCACCTCCCTGGAGCCATTTCTCTGTCCCTCCCCCTTGGCCAGCAGGCGGGCTCCCGCCTCCAGTGCTCTCTCAGCACCGGGCGCCTCCCCTCCTCAGGGAGCACAGGGTCCCCTGCCGCCCTTTGCCCAAGAACCATTTCCCAACAGCCTGAGCACTGATCCGGAACCAGAGGCTCCCAGGAGGCCAGGGACATCTGGCTGCACCGCGTTGGCCTTCGCGGGTGCTTGGACGCAGCCCCAGGGCCGGGCAGTGCTCTGATCTGCCGGCCGGGCGCCCCGAGAGCCAGATCCAGCAACTTCAGGACTCAAATAACTGAAGACCAGGATCTGGGCTGCCGCGTGGCTCAAGCCGCGAGCCTGAGCCAGGGGCGTTTGTGGGGAGCAGAGTGGGCTGCCAAGGGTTCCCCACTTAGGACACTTGTTCCTGAGCCCCTCGGCGGGCAGGAGGTGGCATCTGGGGAGGTCCAGTGACCTGCGCATCAGGGAGCCGCAGATTGGGTTTGGCCAGGGCCTGCTGCCCGCGCTCCTGGGTGCCCGGCTCACTCCCGCTGCCCGTCGCCTCCCTCTCCATCCTGGCTCCCGTCTTCCATTCACGAATTCATATTTGAAATTCAAAACCTGCAGATGGGGAGCGAAGGCAGAGGACAGTGCAGACAGCTGCCCAGGCCGGCCTCTCTCGCTGCAGGGACCGGGCCCTCCTTTCCAGAGGCGAAGCCAGCCGTGCCGGGAGCGAGCCGGGTCCTGGAGTGCGTGCAAGACCCTGGTCTCTTCTGACCAGCTCCTCCTAGACCCCAGGCAGCGGCCAGGCCCTGGCCTGCCCTCGCCCCTCCCCCGACAGCCTTTGGAGACTGTGCGCTCCTCCCAAGAGCGCTGCCGCTTTGCCTGAGCCTAGAGCTGCACTGCCCCCTCCTCTTGACCAGAGCCGTCGGCTCTCGGCCTCCAGTGCACACGGGTGGACACGCTGTGTGCCTTTGCCCAGCTTGTCAGTGCCCTGGGCCTGCATGATCCCCAGAGGGAGGACAGCTGCTCCCAGGCCAGAGGTGTCATCTGACTGCCGCCAGGGGACAGTGCCTGCTGGGGGCCCCCAGCGCTCATTCCCCTGGGGAGACGTTGAGTCCACTTGGCTCCCAGTTGGCTTCAGAATCCGGCTTTCTCAGCCCCTGGCCCTGGGACTTGAGCCCTTCGCTAGAGACACTATTAGAAAAAGAAAGAAAAACAGACGACCCTTCAAACACGGCAGGGAGGGCAGAGGGAGCCCGAGACCAGGAGCCCGCTCCTCCGACCCGACCCTCTGCCAGAGCCCCCGAGCGCCGAGTGGTGCCTCCCTGGCAAGACCAGAAGCAGCAGCGGTTGGCATGAGCCCTGGCCTGCTCAGTCCCCAGGTCACCAGGAGGGGTTGTGTCCCCTCCACTCTCCCACCCAGCCAGGAAGCCAGCTCCCATCATTGTCGCTGAGATTCACAGACGAGATGGGACGTCACAGGTACTTCGTCCAGAGCAGAACCTGCCTCCCAGGCAAGGCCACTGTGCCCAGTCGGCCGGGCCAGAGCCCAGCCAGACTCGGGAGCTGGGGCCTGAGCCCGCTGTCACTTCCGAGCCTGGCCATGGCGACCGACCGCGAACCGCCCTGCCGAGCCCACCCCACTCACATGGTTTGACTGATCTAAAAATTATTTATAGACCTGAACTGCACCGAGACTCTGTGCTGTTGCTGTGGCAACGGGGTAGGCAGCGGGCTCCCAGCTTTCCGGGGCCAGAGGAGGCCGTGAGGGGCAGCTCCCAGCAGGAGCCCTGGGTCACTCTGGCCGTCAGAGGCATGGGGATGACAGGCTGGTGCTGCCTGTGGGAGCCTGGGGTGTGAGGTGTGCCTGACCGCAGGGAACTGCCGGGTGCGTCACGCCCAGGGTGTCCCAGCCGGAGGTCACAGCTGGGCTTCCCTGCCCCCACGGCCCTTGGCTTTGGGCTAAGGCCCCCACATGTCTCCACTCGTGAGGGTGGCCAAGAGCCAGGGCAGGCCGCTAGTGCAGACACACCAGAGCCTTGGGACAGAGAAATGGGGAAAGGGATCCAGGAGCCTGGGAGGAGCCAGGCAGCATCAGCCGCGCGGTTCAAATCGATTCTGCTCCAATTGGCTCACGGGGAGAGCAGCTCCCTAGCTGGGGATTTGAGGGACGGTGCATCTGTAGATTGTCATCTATTCACCAAACGCCCCCATGCTCTGGGCCCGGCCGTCTGGGGTCCTGAAGTGCAGCGTGCAGCCCCTTCCCGCAGAGGCACGCACCGCGGGGGGGACCACGCTGCACCAGACCCAGGTGGTGCCGGCCTGCGTCCCCTGTCACCCACAGACAGGACCCATCCCCCCCAGCCTGGTGTGCGCCTGGCGGGTCGTCTGCAGGGGTGCACACAGCTCCAGCTGCCCATGAGCTTAACCCCCGTGTGTGTGAGTCCAGCATAAAGCGTGTGTTGGGCAATAACTGGGCAGCCAATTCCCAGCGTCCATGCTGCAGAGCTCAGGCCTTCAGACAAGGGAGTCCCAGTGCTGGCGTAGCTCCTGACCTGGGGCCTCCCGGTGCTCCCCAGGCACTTTCTGCCACGCCCACGGGGCCCGCTAGGTCAGGACACCCCGTCCTTTCGTGGTGGGCACTGCCGCGTAGAAGCCCTTTCAGGACGGCCAAGGGAAAACCTTGCTGGCTGGTGCCCACCCAGGCAGCCCGGGTGTGGGGCGGTGGAGAGTGGAGGGAGGTGGTTAGTGGAGGGTGGTGGTGAGTGGAGGTTGGTGACCGAGTCTGTGGGGCAGGGAAGTGGATGTCGCCTTGGGGGGCCTCCTGCTGGGGCCTCAGAGGCTGGCGGGCTGCAGGACAACAGGAAGAGTCTGCCTCCAGGTCCACTGGGGTTGCTGGTGGAACCCACTTCCTGCAGACACGGGGCGGAGGGCCTGGTTTTATTACTGACTGTCAACTGGAGGCCACCCTCAGGCCCCTGCTGCGTGGCCCCTCCAGGCAGCCGCAGTGCCACTGTCTACATTAAGGCCAGCAGAAGGGCCCCTCGGGCCCCGGCCACTGAGTCGGAGTCTTACATGGCGAGATGGTCATGGGTGCTGTTTCTTTTGGCCAGAGGTTCACCTCAGGCCCAGCCCAGGGATGCATGCCACACCCCATGTGTGACAAGACTCAGATGCCTGTGGCCACATCTGTTTCTGCTCCTGCTGTGTGACCCTGGGCAAGCCCCCCACCTTCTCTGTGCAGCAGAGCAGTGGAGATTGCCATGGCTCCTTAGCTTCTGCATGGAGCTGTTTCCCTGGGTTCAAAGGACACGCTCAGCCCTGGTTCTTGGGATCATGGGAACTTGCCCAGCTGTAGCTGTAAGAGCTGACCCTGGCTGAGAGCTTGCACCTGTCCACTGTAGCACACGCACCATCTGGAAGGCACTGTCCTCACTTTATGGACGAGGGCACCTGGGGACTGAGGGTCAGACCCTTCCACGTGACTCAGGCCACACCCGTCCCTGCGCTGGGCCTTCTCTCACTGGCACTGCCCGGCTCTCCTGGAGTTTGACTTTGGGGCAGCACAAGGAGGTGGCCTCCTCTGACCGGGTGGAGAGCTGCAGGACTTTGGCGGGGGCCCTGGACCCTGCCCTGGCCATGCCCCCTGCTGCTTCCATCAGAGCCGTGTGGAGCCGAGGGTGGGGCAGGGTGACTTCCCAGGTTGGCCCCAGCTGCGGACACGCTTGTGAATCTTGATGACACCCTATTTTGAGGACAACGGTCCAACCACAGGACACAGCTGTCACTACTGGAAGTGTCCCCAGCACCTGCTAGGACATGTGCTACGATGCTTTGTCAGGCTTCTCCTGGGACATCGCCACTCCACTCACAGGGACGGGGCTTGCCGGAGAAAGGTGGCCCACGCAGCTCCCTGTGGCACAACCCCAGGCGTGGGCGGGCGGGGGCCCGAGGAGGGTGCCACAGGGCTGCCGCCACCGCTGGGCTGAGGGACCATGGGGGCGGGCAGCGCTGCTTATGGAGTAGGTCCAAGGACGTGGGGCCACCTGGGGGTCCCGGTGTGCAGAGGGGCTGGGGCCCCCTGGTGAGGAGCCAGAATGCGGTGCTGGATGGGAGAGCGGGGGGGGACCCGGCATACCAGGGGGTCCTTAGGAGGGGGGGACAGGCGTGCACGCGTGTGTGAGCATGCGGGGGGTGTGGGGCTGTGGTGTGCGGCTGTGGGTGTGCAGGGGTGTTTGGTGACAGTGAAGGTGAGTGCCTGTGTGTGAGCACGGTACTCAGGGTCCCCACATGCAGGCCACTGCCAGGTGGCTCCCCCCGGGGCTCCTCCCTGTCACAGCATCAGAAAGCTCTGCCACGGGACCCAGGCCTGGGTGGGCAGGGGCAGTGGGGTCCCAGCCTCTTTTGCCTGAGCTCACTGACCCCGAGGGAAGGACACATTCAGGGTGCAGGCAATGTGGGCACCCTGCGCTGCGGCACCCTTGCCCAAGGGAGTCCACCTGGTGCACTACTGTGGATGTCCAGCAGATGGCGTGGCCTGGGCAGGTTGCGGCAGGAGGTCTGGCGGACCCACCTTGGTGCAGGTGAGGAAACTGAGGCTGGTTCCCCTTCCCCTTGCACACAGGGGAATTCATTCCAGGTCCCATGTCTGGGGGCCCTTGCTCTGTGCTGGGGGCTGGGAACCAAGTGAGCCAACCTGATGGACTCTCCGAAGCTCGTTCATCTCGAGGGAAGAGGAACACGCTCCACAGGGATCACCTGACCCTGAAACACTGCTGCTCACCCCACACCCCACACAGTCTGCCGTAGGACCCTTGCTTGGCCACCTGTGTCCCCTGAGGCTGCGCCCTTACCTCCATGTGCCTCTTGATCCTCCCATACCACAACCCTCTTGAGAGTCCAGCCTCTTCCAGCTGAGTGGGCAAGGTCCTTCTGCGTGGACAGAGTGTGGGGCGTGGGGTCTGCACAGCCCGTCCACAGCTCCACCCTGCTGCAGCCGTGTGGCCCTGGGCGAGGGCCTCTTCTCCTGATTGTCACAGTTCAGCAGAACGTAGGTGTCCAGACTCTCTACAGGGGTCCTGGGTCCCCTCACTCAGGGCCTCGATGGGTCTATCCCTGGTTTTCTTTTTCTTTTTTGAGGGTGACAGTGTTTAAGTTGCATTCCCCCAAAATATGTTCAGGGCAAACCCCAGAACCCACGTGACCTTATTAGGGAGTAGGGTCCCTGCAGAAGGGCCAGTGGCGAGGGGGTCACACTGCAGCAGGGTGGCTCTGCCCTGACCCCACCGCCGGTGTCCTTACAAGAGGAGTGAGACATGGAGACACAGAAGGCCACCTGAAGAGAGACCAAGGGTTAGAGTGAAGTGACCACAATCCGAGGGACACGCAGAGCCCCAGGAGCTGGGGGAGGCAGGAAGGGAGCCCAGAACCTGGGCGGGAGCAGGGCGCCATGGCACCTTGACCCTGGACTCGTCTCCACACGGTAAACACCCATCTCCGGCTCTGAAGCCTCCCAGCTCTGGTCCCTTGTCACAGCCAGGAACTGAGGGCCGGCTCCCCGGCTCCCATCTCCTCTGAGGCCCAGCCGGGGAGGTGTGTTGGCCTGGGCCAGGTGGGCGCCTCTGGGCTGGGGAACAGGTGCTACCTGCAGACCTCCGCGTGGGCGCTTGGTGCACGCAGCGCGCCTGTCCTCCTGGCCTGGCCACGAGGGCTCTGTGATGCGCCTGCGTGGTGCTCCAGGTGAGACTGGCGTTGAAGCAGTGGCCAGTGCTGGAATCCCATCGTGGCCCCTCACAAGTGCTCAGCTGACTTCACCTCTGGGCCCCGGTTTCCTGCTCTGTGCTCGGGGCTGGGGAGACCCACCTGGCTCCCAGGGCATCTGTGAGGACGAAGCCAGACCCTGCTGTCCAGCGCACGGCAGACCTGGTCAGAGGCCCCCCCAGGCCTTTTCCCTGGCTGCTCCTTGCCAGAGCACCCTCGCTGCCTGTCCAGGAGGTGGGTATGGCAGGGCAGGGAGGCCATGGGCAGAGGTCCTCCCCGTGCAGACTGCCCAGCCCTAGGTCTCTGGCCACAGCTGTGATTATCCACAGCTGATGGCCAGCATTCCCCCATCCTGCCAGGACTTTCAGGAAAACAGCTGGACGGCTGGTGATTCCCGGGCCCTGCCCTGCATGGCCGTCCTGGCCAGCTGGACCCTGGGCTCTGCAGGCTCAGAGGAAGCCCAGCTGCTCTCCAGCTTCAGGACAGCCCAGCTGTGGGCCACGGCCTCAGTGACCCTGCAGACCCCTCCCAGCTCAGCTCTGGCCTGCTTCCCTTCCAGAGGGGGCAGAAAGCAGAGCCCCAGCCCACTGGCCCGGGGGTCGGGCAGAGCCATGGCCTCCCACAGGCGGGACATTCTGGAAGCCGTGTGGCCTGAAGAGTCCCTGCCAGCGCCTCCTGCCTGGCCAGGCGTGGGGTCACAGGCGGCGACCTCAGACACAGCAGAACTCCACCCCGTCTTCACCAACCCTGGGGCTGCCGTTAGGGTGAGGAGGCGCAGGTCTCAGGGACTGGCCAGGCTGTGGCGCTGCGGCTCACAGACCGAGATGGGGCTGTGTTGGCCAGTCGGGCAGGGAGCTCCCTAGAACCATCCGACCCCATCCCGCCAGGCAGGTGCTGGCACCCTGCTTTGCAGAGGCGTCCTTGGCTGCTCGAGGTGCCGCGGCTTGCTGATGCAGACGTCGGGTCACTCGGTCTTGGTGCAGACTGCTCCCCCTTAGGCAGCGGCCCTACTCACATTTTGTCTGTGCACCGAAAACATTGTTCTGAGAAAGGATGCGCTTCACCAGAATGCCAAGGGGCCTGGCACAGAAAGGCTGGGGCCCTGCTTCACAGGGCGCCAGAAAACAGCAGCCGTGGTGAGCAGACCAGAGGCTGCCCCAGCTCCCTCGGATACCCAGGCTGCACGGCACCCAAGTGAGCTCTGCCGGGCAGAACCTGACTCCCGGACGGGGCCCAGGAAACGCGTTCTCACAACTGGCCCCACCCCACTGCCTTGGTCAGCACCGTCAAGGTTGTTGGATTGAGTGTCCTGCCAACGCCGCCTCAAGACAAGCCCCCAGGCCCCACTTCTGGTGAGGTTGCTGCCCGGTCACCTCTCTCATTTAAATCCTGGAGCAGCCATGGCCCTAGAGGGGTGGTTTGCAGTGTGACCAAGTCTGGGCTCAAATCCTGGCCCCGTGATATTCTAACAGGATGACCCCAAGTGGTTCCCCAACCCCTCTGGCCCTTGCCTACCTAACTGTAGACAGATGTAACCACAGAGCTTGCTTGGCCACAGATCTGTGAGCCACCCACCCACCCATCCATCATCCGCCCACCCATCCGTCCTCTACCACCTACCTGTCCACCGACCCACCATCCTCCCACCCAGCCCTCCGTCCCTCCATCATCCACCACCCACCATCTCTCCCTCCATCCCACCCATCCGTCCCTCCATGCATCCACCCATTCATACATCCACCCACCCATCTTATGTCTCATGTTTTTCCAAACCATGACAATCCCCTTAAATAGTTCAGCATGCATATCATTCACAACGAGATCTCAATAGTTCAGAAAGCACGAGTTTACTTCTGGAAACAAAGATGACCCAGTCCTGCTCCTGGCCTCTGCCCACTCCCACCTGCAGCTCCAGGCTGCGGGCGGGCTCCCAGGCCAACAACGGCAAGGCTGTCCTCTTCCCCCGCCTGGATGCTGAAGGCCCCTCTGTGGAGGAGGGTCGGGGACAGAGTGGAGCTGGGGTCTCCAGGTCCTCTCCTGTCAGAGCCCTCCAGGGAGCCTGCCTGCGCCTCTGGCTGGGGAGTCACCGCGGGCTCTGTCCCAGGGCCAAGCTCAGCACCTTGGGCCAGCTGCTCCCAGAGGTGGCCAGCTCCCTGTCACTGGAAGTGGCCAAGCAAAGACTGAGACAGTGGGGACAGGAAGGCGTTACAGAAAGGGGTCAAAGTCAGAGCAGGGCCTGAGTGACATCAGGTCTCTCAATGTGGCGCCTTGACGTCTGGGCTGTAACCCTGGGGCTGTCCTGGGCTCTGTGGGACGTTTTGCAGTGTTCCTGGTCTTGACCGCTAGGTTCTGAAAGCACGTCCACTCCCCGCAACCAAAATGACAACCCAAAGTAGCAGCCGTCATTACCAAGTGTCCCCTGGGAAGGCCTGCCCTGGTTGGACATCTAAGGTAGGGACATTTAGGGTCCCTTCCTCCCCCCCGCCCCGTAGGACTGCATCCTTCCTGTTGCTGTGGAAACGGGTGATTCTCTTGGCCTCTTTCTCCTTTGCTGGCCTCATTTATGCACTCTCCCCACCAGCAAGCCCCAAGTGGGGAGCCCAGGCGACAGTGACACAAAAGGCCCGCCCTCTCCTCTTCTACGGGGTGGACGCAGCAACATTCTGGCCTAAATCGAGGATTAAGAGAGAAGGTACCATGAAAACCCTAGCGATTGCCGTGCACCGTCCACTCGGGCTCTCAGGACTGTGAGGGGCAGCCTGGGGTGGCAGGAGGGCTCCTAAGGGAAGACCCGGCAGTGGAGCAGGTGCACAGGTGGGTGGGGTGAGCCTTCCCCTGTCAGTCACAGCGGGGAGGGCCACAGTGTCCACTCTGTGCTTTGGGTGTAGCCCAGGCTGCTCGGCCACGGCACCTGAGTTTTAAAATGGACGCGTTTCACCTCTTCCTCTCCCCCTGCTCCTCCCTAGTCTCAGGGAAACAGGTCGCCTTTCTTCCCCCCGTCGGCAGAGCTCTGTCCCTGAGCACACACCCACAGGACCCCAATGATCCAGAATTTGGGTTTGGCACCAGAAGATCTCAGAGAGACTGTCCCCCACATTAACACGGGAATCACACTGCAACAGTGGACCCGGGAATGTGGCCTTTGAGCCACCTCTTTAACAGCCCCGGGTCCTGCTGATGGGCGGGATCAGCCTCTGGGACAGGAGCCCCTGTGGGTCTCCTTTGCTGGCAAAGCCACAAACCTGCTCTTTCCTTTTTCTCAAAACCCTGTGGGGTTGCCCAGAGACCTCAGGCCCCTGGGGGTTTTAAGTGCGATGAGTGACCAATACGGGAGAGAGAAGAAGGCAGAAGTGGGGGGTGGGACTGACCGCTGGAGATGGGGTGGGCTGCCAAAGTGGACAGAAGGTAAGTGTTCTCTTTACCAGAAAAAGGAAAAGGGCGACCTGTTTCCCTGAGACTAGGGAGGAGCAGGAGAGAGGAAGAGGTGAAACGCGTCCATTTTAAAACTCAGGTGCCGTGGCCGAGCAGCCTGGGCTACACCCAAAGCACAGAGTGGACACTGTACCTTCCCCACTGTCCATTTCTACAGTCCGTTTCTTTTTCCCGCACAGGATCTGTTAATTGTGTATTTACCAAGAAAAGCGATTCCTCAGCCCACACGTTCATGTTTCATCGTCCGGAGCACAAGTCAGCGCAGACTCTAAGGCCCCGATCCAGGAACACTTCATTGGATCACGTTCACCCTGAACGTCACCAGCCTCCTCAGGTCCTCAGACTCTCCCTGGGATCCTGATTCCTACAGGAATCTGCATTCGCCTCTCTCTGGCCTCAGCCACACGAACAGCAGCGACCCCAGCAGCCCCGAACGCTGAACCGGGACCCTTGGCCGGAAGACCCCGACCTGAGGTTTCCTCCAAGTGCTGGAAGCCGTGGCAGTTTTGTCCCCCACACCCACGCCCTTCCTGGGAGACGAGAAGAAATCTCTACCTTCCATTTCTGTGGAAAGATGGGAGGTAAGCGGTTCTAAGGGAGAGGAGGAGACAGGCTTGGCCCCCAGCCCTGGGGTGTGGCCAGGCCTCCGGGAAAGACCTCTGCCTGCTGAGGTCAAGGTTAGGCCCAGAGCTGGACAGAGCTGGGAGGGCTGACCCCAGGGCGGAGCAGGCTGCGACAGCTGGAGAGGGAGACCAGAGTGGAGTCTGCGGGCCGCCCGCTGGTTTTCACGGGCTGCCTCTGTCTCTCCCTCAGGGTCTCGACCCTCTGGCCGGACCAGCGCAGAGCACAGGTCAGGAGGATGGGACACAGCCTAGGGCCCCACAGTGGGGACCCCTTCAGCCTCTCGGGTAAACTCACTCTGGCCCCAGCCCCACAGCCGTTAGTGGGAACAGCCAGGAC